AAGATACTCATGTAATGGTACAAGATCCCAATGATGAATGTAACTGTATTTTATACCTAAAATGTACCAATAAACTTAATGGGGAAAAAAAATAAGAAGAGTATACAAGGCCAGGGATGTAGCTCAGTGGCACAGTGCCTGTCTGGCAAGCGCAGGGTCCTGAGTTCGATCCCTGGTATCAAAAAAAAAAAGAAGAGTATGGAACCACATGTGAGGGATGATGATAAGCTTCCATATTTGGGCCCCTTGTTACTTGTAAGTTTCTGTAATACTTAAGAGCTCACTGAATAATGTTGCAAAAATAAAATATTTTTATTTGTGCTTGATCCTAAGAAATACATTTTGACTTACATAATTTCACCGAGTCACAAAATTGTTATCCACATGGGCCAGGGATTTAGTTGGCCCATGTGGTTCTGCCACCTGCCTCATAAGCACAAGGTCCCAAGTTCGATCCCCAATACCAAAATAAAAAAAATTGTTATCCACACATACACTTACTGTACTTAAACACTAAAATAATTTCATGAAATCATTATACATTAAAAGAAACTCAGGGCCGGAGATTTAGCTCAGTGGCACCATGCCTGCCTCACAAGCACAAGGTCCTGAGTTCAATCCCTTCCACAAAATAAACGAATGAACGAATGAATGAATGAATGAATCTCAACACAAAGGGAAAATACTGAGGCAAAAAACACAATCTACATGGAAATGTGATTATGACTAGAAATAAACATTTCTTTGTTATCAAAAAGATGAAATCTGCTGCTCTAAAGATTAAATTTTTTTTTTGGTACCAGAGATAAAAATTAATTTTTAACATTTAACTGGCTGCATATCAACCCAAATACAGCAAACCTGCACACTGAGCATATACAGTTGTTGGTAACTTACCGCAAGTTCTATATCTTCTGAATGGAGCTTGGCTTGGATTGCTGCAAATCCTCCTAATTCTCCAAACTACGAAGAAAACAAGCACAAGTTAATTTTGAAACGCAATACATTACTACTTTAACCAGGGCCGGGGATATAGCTCAGTGGTGCCATGGCTGCCGGGCAAGTGCAAGGTCTTGAGTTCAATCCCCGTTACCACCACCACCACCACCACCAAAAAAACAAAACAAAACAAACCCAAAACAAAACAAAAAAAACAACCAAAAACCAAAAAAAACTAGGGTTCCTTTATCATTGTGTTCTATAATATTAGTCTTGAGAGATTCATCATGAAAGAAATTATAATGTTCCTGTGCTATACTGCATGGGATATGCTAAGCCCCAAAGCTGAGGTTCAGCTGTACAGATTGTACATACAAAAAGAAGGAACAACAAAACATATCTCCTTAGGAAAATGTTCTGATTATTATCTGTAGTTGTCATGTGCTTAAATATCAACTCTGGAAATCTAATTAGAAAATAAAAAACAAAATATATAACCATGCTGATAAAAGTTGTATGTATACCTTATTAACCAGATCCACAACCCATCCATGAGGTTCCTATGAGGAAAGAAAATTAAAATTGAGATGGCAATATAAAAGCTTCCTCATTAACCCTTATAGTTCTCTTATCCTATTTAAGAAGTCAGAGAAAAACATATTAAAACCTGAAAAATACTTTAGAGCACTTTTCCAAGTTTTGCCTAATATAAATCTTTGATATTACCACATATAATTTATGAACTCTATAAGTCTGGGTTTTGATGGAACTGCCACAATGTGGATCATGTGTGCACATCTGGGTAGCCCAGATCAGTTGTTTAAGCTCTCCAAAGAACAGAGTAACCAGGTAAATTCTCTAAGAAAGATATATTTTAAAAGTTAAGAATTATTTACCTAAAAGCACTTAATCAGGAATCAGAGATTAAAATTTAGTTCCACCTGAATCATTATTCAGTACCCTTAAGCCAGCGCTTTCTGCTCTTCTTTTCTCTTCTGCGTCCCTGATCCACAACACTGAATGGGAAGAGATGGGGTAGTCTGCTTACATAGGGCTCATATTCTAGCAGGGTAAAAAAACCAGGAAAATCACCACATGTGTAAGAGAATTCAGATTGTGGCAGGCCTTATTAAAGGAAAAATAAAAGGTCCTCCAAAGAAAAGTAGAAGGAGCCTTTTCTGCTCAGGGTGCTGGCCATGAGAACCTCTAAGGGGTAGTCTTTAAATTGGAACCTAAAGGATGGCATAGTTTTAGCCATTTAAAGAACAGTCCAGGCAGAGAGGCTGAAATGGCAAAGGTTGTTTGGGGAAGGCAGAAAAGAGTCAAGATTAAGTAAAAGCCAGCTGAGACATGATGACCCAAGAAAAAGGTATAAATGAGGTGCAGACAGAAGCAAAGACACAAGAAAGCTTGTAGGGTGTGATTACAGAGAGCAACACAAGGGTTTTACACAGCAGAGTGTTTGTTTTATGTCTTAAGAGTACCCTTGCGGTTCTGTTGAGAATGGGATGGAATGGGACAGTGAGCAGCAGTTAAGACACCACCAGCTAGAAGACAAGTGCAGTGACAAGACAGGACACAGTGGTATGGAGCAGGGTAGAGGCAAAGAGACAGTCACTGGAGGTATGTTACAGATTCAATCAAAAAAGAGATCTCAAAATACAGCCATGGAAGAATGACAGACCTCTTAACAGAAACAGCAGTCAGACCAGCAGCCATCTTCTCAACAGCAAGGATCAAAGCCAGGGACAATGAGTTGTTATCTTTAATATTTTGACAGAAATAATGTCAACCCAGAATTAAAAACCCAGTGAAAATATTCTTCAAGAAATGGAATATACAGTTACACTTAGGCCATTAAAATAAAGATAACCAAAAAGAAAGAAAGAAAGAGAGACAGAGAGAGAGAGAAAGAGAAAGAGAGAGAGAAAGAAAGAAAGATAACTGCCAATGGACACTTCCTGTAAAGACACTGTATAGGAGGCACTACTGGTTTTATGGTGAAAAAAAGGCCGGAGAGTAACCAAACAATGTATTATTATTAAAGAAGTTAAAGAGATAATAACCAGACAGGGGTCATGCTTATGAAAAACATCCTAAAGTCTTCAAGTTCAGTCAGAGGAGAATAAAGATGCTGAATTTCAAGTTCTGTTTGGTTAATATTTTAAAATTTTAGATTAGCCACTGAAAGGAGGACTGGAAGGGGAGACTCTGGAATCCTTCATGAGGTATGGACACAAAGAAGAGCAGAGGGCCATGCTGATACCAGAGAGGATATGCTCCCAAGGGCAGAAATTCCAGGGCACACTGTACACAACGGGGATGATCCTGCAGTAAGAAGACTGACGGTACCAAAGGAATCATTTACCTAGGGGCAAAATACAATACTTGAGAGAGACTAGAAGGAATCTTGAGCCTTAGCAGAAGAGAGAATTCCTTTGTGGTAATGAGAAGAAATACGGAGACTGAACCTATCTGGTCTCAGTTGTGGCCTATGGAAACCGAAGGGAAGGAACCAAAGTCTGCTGAGTACTTACTATAGTAAATCACTGTGTTTGGGGTTTCTACAATTCGAAAAGAAGAGAAACTAATGGAGAAGAGAAGATTATAGTATACTGGGAAGTAGTACTACATATGGTTAAAGAAAGCATGAGTTGTTCTTCTAGCCATTTAGACTTGGCAAAGTACTTAACCTCCATCTCTGTGTCTCACATAAAAAGAGTCTCACCAACTTGTAGTTACTGTGGAAATTAAATTCCAGAGTACACATTCACTGTCCTTTCCACTAAGTTCTTACCTCCTCTCCAGAGCACTGCCTAACTCACCAAGGTGGCAATAACCACTCCTTGCCCTCTGCTCTACACAGAGTACATAATATTATAATTATACCTATTGTTTGTCATACGTAATTTTTTAAAAATTAATTTTATTGGTACATTTTAGGAATACAATATGATGACATTCATCACTGGAAATTTGCACCTTTACATAATCTCTCTTGGTTCTTATTTTTTCCCCATTCCTCTGGCCTCCCTTCAACCTCTCTCCATCCCTCCCTATTTACAAAGACTTTGTTTCCATTTTTTCATTTTCTCATATTAATTCCATTCCCTTCTTTCCTTTGTTTTCGTATTTCTTCTGCTATGCTATAAGCTAGAAACCACACTGTAATATTCTATATTAAAGACAAGGACTACTAGCTTGTATTTTATCTCCAAAACCTAGAATAATGGCAAATGCACTAAGTAGTCAATAAATGGTTGTGAAACTAACCCTCTGCTAAACCAGCAGGCAAGTTTCCTATCAACTAAATTTGACTTTTTAACTGTTTTTCAAAAACCAGTGTTTGAACTAGAGGGCTATTTAGATTACACACTCCTTGAGAGAATAAAGTTATTGGCACACTGCAGACCTTTCAATAGCAAACAAAGATATTGGTTCTGGGCCTGAAAAAGCAGAAGTCTTAATGCTTACGGAGTTTAAAATAAAATTATATATGAGTAGATGACATCTTAGATACAATTAGTTATTTTAAATCATTTCAAATGCTCTCCTATCTCAAATATCTCCACGGAAGGGAGAAACCAATTAAACTGAGGTTCTGATAATCCAATACGTAGGGCACTGAGGTCATTTCTTATTTCACCAAATACAGTTTCAAATCTATACAACTTTCATGTCAGTTAATAGCTACAGAAAAAAATGTATTATCTGAATAAATTTTAAGGCATTTCATGAGCCATATGGAATATTTGTAATTTTCTATAGATTATTTTCATCTTTCCATGTAAATTGGCACTTTTATAACACAGAAAATATTTTTTAGTTCCTTTATAAAAAGATGAAACAGAACTATGTTTACCTTTTGAAAAGTAGATACAGGTGAAACAGCAAACATATTTCCCTCTCCAAATACTTCTGCCCAGTTCCTTTGAGAGACTTTCATTCTGTTTTTAAAATGGTATTCATTATCGGGATTAAAAGCCTAGATTCAAAGAGAACAGAGAAATGTTATTTTCCATTTCTATAGCAACACATTAGCATTAGAAAAGAAGATAAAAATATAGGTTTGGGCCTTTCCATTAATAGAAACTTTCCATTAATGGAAACAGGACTAGAGTGCTGCTCCAACAAGAAGAGGAACAAGCAGGGTGAGAAGTCTGACTCTAGGCCTGTCCAGGCCAATGCCAGGACCGAGGGCTGCCACATGCCAAGCAGGGTGACAGAGGCAAGTGAACAGGAAGGTAGGAGGGGCAGGCATGAGCTGGTCAAATGGCCAGAAACCAAAAGACAGGAACACCCTATATGAAAGTATTTAAGATTTAAATAACCAGGGTGAAAAAAGGAAAATTTATCAGAATTAGAAAAGTTTTTCTTTCAAAGTGAAACATAGATATTTAAAATAAAAAGCCAGTACTCTAAGAACTCTTTGATGATAAAATCATTATTAATTACAAGTTTTAAATAAAATCAAAACATAAAGTACTTCACTTAAGATACTATACCATTGTCAGCACACCCAGGAGACCAATGGGAATTGGATCTTGTTTTATTCTCTCTGCAACCAGCTCTATTAATAGCATCAACATGTTGTAGATTCCTTCATGAATTTCAGTGCCCCATTTGTGAACAGCACTTGATGTCAGGAGCTACGAAAACATAAAAGGCAGTCTAGAATCTAACTTGAAAAAAGAAAATAAACCAATGGTTCATCAGGTCAATCACAAATAATCAAGAGATTATAATTAAAATACCTTTTTTGTGCACATGGCTTGCTTTAAAGGATCCATAACTGCAGTCAGTCCATTTACTTTTTCATGTACTTCATTCAAAGTCAATGGGTTTAATTTTAATTGTGAGCTTGTGAAGGCAGTTTACTTAAAAGAAAATTTTCATTTGGTTCTCTATTTTTCATTATTAGTACTAGGAAACCTCAACTGATACAGAGCAAGTAAAATCCTGAGATCAATTCTGGATGCTACTGTTTTCTAGCTATGTGGACTTGAATAAATTTACCTGAGTTCCCACAAGCTCAATTCTTTCATCTCTAATGAGGGGTAATTCCTGCCCACTTCACATAGATATTACAGGGATCAAAAGATGTCACAAACATGAAAGCATATTATAAATAAGATACTATTAATGTATCTTGATAATTGGCTGTTAGTATTAATTATCTCTGGAATCTGAGAAATAGATGCTTTATTTCATGGATTCTATCACACATATTCTTTTCATATTTTTTAACATCTCAGAAATAGAACTGCATCTTTCCCACTTGTTGAGCAGATGACACAGGACTCTTAAATTTAGTCAACAAATTGTAGAAATACCTTATTAATTTATTTTGCTTTTATTTTCTTTTGGCATGTACAGAAGAAATATTTAACTTTTACATGTTTAAAGAAATCTAAAATATCTCGTAAGTGATATCATAACATTAGTATGCAACTATTTTCCTTAAAACATAAAAATCAAATATAAAACAGTGGCACATCTTATAATCAGCTTCTTAGATTTGTTCAAAAAAGAAACTGATCAAAATATGGGAGGGTGGAGGATGGGAAGGGGAAATGAAAAGATGTGTTATGTACATAAACTCACCATGACGAATCTAATCATTATGTACTATACTGAAAACATGTACTAATAAAAATTTTAAAAATCAAAAAATAAATAAAGTAAAAAAAGAAACTGGAGCCTGTCAATCTCAGTCTTCTAGTACCTGGGAAAGACTAACTCAGGAACACCTGCCAGAACAGGGGATGAGAAATTAACGGATTTCACTTCAATTGGTGGGGTGCTTTCATGTTTTTATTACGATTTCCCTCTAGAATGAAAATTTTGTGCAATAAAAATCTCATCTTGGCACACTGAGAACTCCTTTTACAGAGTAGTCTGAAAGAGCTCAAACTTCAGGAACTGCAGAGAAAAACATCAGTTCAAGATTTTCCAAATACTAATAGCTTCACTATACGCTCAGTTGATCAAAAATATTAAGATTAATTTTATATAAACCAGCAAGATACTACTTTTTAAAGAATTTTTTGACTATATATTCCTCCTATATTTCAAAACAAAATAAAACGAAGCAGTAATTAATATTTGAGAAGCTTCATGTGATTACAAAATGAAAACGTATGTAGATTAAGCACCACTCCCTCTGGTGTCAACTGATTTGTTCACTTTTCAACTTGAAAATGCAGTTCTGTTTACTTTCTAAGAGATGGGGAAAGACAGCACCTTTTGGAAAAGAGTCACCCATGGTTTAGACATAACCACGTACCACACTATGGCCAGGCTGACATTATCTTCTCTGCCTGAATACACTGTAAAGCATCCTGGATGGGCTGGAGGTTAACAGGGAAAAACGTGGAAATGACAACAAAACTCCTGTGTACCTTATTCATGCAATCACTTACTATTCATACCACTACTTCAGGAAAAAAAAAAAAAAAACTTGAGGCAACTTAAAAAAAAAACAAAAAAACCACAGATAAGGAAAGTGGTACCAATTACATTAAATCTGAGTTTTCTGGCTGCCAAGCCTAAAGGCATATACAATTTCATAGCTCTTCTGATTTAATAAAGTACGCCTAACTGAAAGAAAGGAACCTTCTTAGTAGCTCTAAGCTAAAAGAGGACTTAAGATTTTTGCATTCACAATTTTGAGTCACATAATTCAGGGGACCTTCGAGCTCTTAGTTTTAAAGAGAAACAACTAACCATTGGACCAGTTATCATACTGTTAATAAGAGCTGAAGCCACAATATAAAAGTGGTGTGAAGCATCTGTGTACACAGAGGTAGACTATCATACTTCAAATACACAGTTCACTGACGAGCTGACTTGATACAGGGCTGAATGAATGTGGAAATCCTTAACCTAAAGGTCCTTTTATAAGACAAAGAAGTTCTTTTTCATGACTGAATAAACTTGTATTTTCCTTCTCTGTAAACTTATACATATATTAAGATATGAGACATGGTATATTACATTATAAAAAGTCTGCTTTGTTGTCGTTGTTCCGGGAATCCCACTCAAGGTCTTGTACTTGCCAGGAAGGCGCTGTGCTGCTGAGCTACATCCCCAACCCAAAAGTCTGCTATTTTTAATGTTACCGTTATTAAGAGAATTCTTAAATTCTCCTAAAATGAAGGAAAATCTTGATTCTATATAATCTCTGCTCAAATGACAACTGAAAAAGATTTCTTCCTGTTTTCAAAGAAGAAGACACTTTTGGGCCAGGGATTTAGCTCAGTGGCTTCGCTGCCTGCTGCGCAAGCGCGAGGACCCGAGTTCGATTCCCCGGTACGGGGGTGGGGGTGGGGGGGGGGGGGGGGGGGGCAGAAAGAAGACACTTTTGTTTCTGAAATTAATTTTGTTATTTTTTAAGCCTTGAATCAAAGTAGTCTTGCCTACCAAAATGCTGGTGGGAATAATCATTTGCAAATGTAGGTCTGTTGTATGAGAAATACTACAAACTTTACCCATTTGTAGTTCTAGTGACTTACTTGCATTTGGGACAAAAATGGGTATCAAAATCCAGTGGTACAAGACAGCAAGAGACTCATTCACTCATTCACCCAAGATTACTGTGCACATTCTGTGAGCTAGGCACTTGGTTATCTGCCGGGGAAAACGACAGGATCTATGACAGACACACACAGTCCCTCTCTTGTGAGGATTCAAGACTCATGTCCAGAAAAGGGAACCATGCTGAGTCGTACTGCTTTTAGAAACATGATTCCTGTGATCTCCTATTTCTACTGCTGAGAGAGAAATTGTTCTCTAAATGAGATGAACAGAATGGGAATAAGCATATCACTCTGGCTCTGATAGAGATGCTGCTGTTTGCAAGGAAGAATACCCAGCTTAGCGAAGCTTTCAGTAGTAATATGTCTGCTTCTGCCTCTATAAAGTGGTCCACATTTTGGTAAATGAATACTATCTACCTATATACCACAATCCTTTGTTTACTAAGATGTCACTTTCCTAGCATAACTAAGTCTTAATGTATTCTTTAGCCATTAAATAGTAGGAAGTAAGTTATATTCAATCAAAGGGAAGTACAAACAATTAGATATAAAAAGTAAATAAGCCCCAAATTCAGAGCTACTTTTTCTCACGTTAGAGAATTCAATAGTTGAACAAGATTCATAAACTGGTTTTAAACATAAATAACTAAAACAAAAGGCATATGTACTATATTATTCCCATCAAAAAGTCGAAAGAGTAGCACATTTTTCTTACCTTTTTAAATGCTTCAGGCATACACCTATCCATAAATCTTTTACAATTCTCATCAGACTCACAAAGACCTTGGTAAAATAAATGAAAGAATACACTGTATTTAGATTTTAGGTAGTTTGCAGAAATTGTGTGCACTATTGCAAATTCATACATATGGAACTATTTATCATAGAAACCTTTATTCTTTTTTTTGGTACTGGGGAATCAAACAAAACCTTTTTTTTTGGTACCAGGGATTAAACTTGGGTCCTTGCGCTTGCACAGCAGGCGGCGAAACCACTGAGCTAAATCCCCAGCCCATTTTTTTGGTGTTTTGAGGTCTCCCTTTGCAGTTCAGGCTGGCCCCGAACTCACTATGTAGCTCAGGCTGGCCTTGAACTTGTGGTGATCGTCTGCCTCGGCTCCTGAGTGCTGAGATCACAGGCGTGCGCCACCATGCCTGGCTTTTACCATTAGTCTTAAAGTTTAGATATTCTGCTGAAATAACAGTTAAGAAATGATCATGGCATTAGATGAAAACAAAGGTTAACTTATGACTCCATGGATTCCAAAGTAACTTCAATTATTTGATCAGGTAATTAAGAAGCAGCAGCTACTCACTAGCCCTTATTTTTTCCTACATAACTCCAAAAAACCACAAATATTTTTAATAAATGCTAAAATCACTCTTCTTCCTGAAAACAAATTAACTTTGTCTAATAAAATACACAGAACTCTGGCACAATTCACACAATAAGTGACAAATACTAAATGAATGAATGAATCTACTGTCAAATTGTAATTCAGAACAAATACATTTCTTTCTTAAGCCCAATAATCAATTTTGCTTATCGTTGGAAATACTGGTGATCAAATATTCCTTTTTTTCTTACCCACTGCTTAGCATAGTACCTAGATCCTAAAAAGCACTCAAAAAATGCTGCGGTTGAAAAGCCAGTCCTAAATGCAGCATAAAATCTGTCAGGGTTAAATCCAAGCCAGTGGTAATACTTTCTTTTGTTGTGTCTTAAGAGGAAAAAAAAAATGGTCATATTTATTTTAAAATAAATTTAATATGAATAAATTATTTTCTTTTACAGATTTACCATACAAAAGTTTCCTTATATTGACCCTCATTCTTCTAATGTAGGGATATTTTATCATTCTCTTAGCTTTACTTTTGCAAACCATTTAAGGGAAAGGCACTTTTTTTTTTTTTTTTGGTACTGGGGATTGAACTCGGGTCCTTGAGCTTACGAGGCAGGTGGCAGAACCACTGAGGTAAATCCCCAGCCCTTTTGCAAACCATTTAAGACAGTTGTGCCAGGCATTTAATAAACACAAATGATGGTAAATCTAAACACTGCTTTCTTCTCTCTCTCAGCCTTTCTGGTTGTGCTGGGAATGGAGCTCACAGTCTCACATATGATAAGCAAGTGCTCTATCAGAGCTACACCCCAGCCTTTACTTTCTGTTCTACAAAACAAAACACCCTTGAATTTTCAAAGCTTAAGGTATTGCAAGCTTCTGTGGAAAAAATTAATTTTAACTGCTATAAAGCTTTACAACTATATTGTAAATAACCTTACTAGTCCTGCTAGAAGAAAACAGCTGACGTAGTTCAAAGCTTTTATTCACAGGGTGATAAACAAAGACTAAAAGAATAAATGATCCATTCAAGATCACACAGACAATGACAAGACCTAAGATTAACCCTAACCACGTATGGAAAAAAACCTCATGTTTTCTGAGGCAGGGAAGCTTACCAAGTCTTGCTAGATAGGTAGACGCCAACAGGCATTTGCCTAGTGATTCCTCTCGCTTGTAAGGAATGGACCAATGATCAGTCAAAACACGGCTTTCCAGTTCATATAAATTTGTTGTAGGGAATTCAATTCCTTCCCCTGAGCAGTTTCCATTTTCATCATTCTTCTGAGAAAAAAGACATTAAAAGAAAAGGCAAACATACCAATTAGTGACTACTCTAAATTTAGAATTTTTTTTTTGGTACCAAGGATCGAACTTGGGACTTTGCACTTTCGAGGCAGGTGGCAGAACCACTGAGCTAAATCCCCGGCCCTCTAAAATTTAGAATTTAACACAAAGCAGCTGCTTAGTCAATGGTAGCTATTAATACTAAAAGTGTGGACTCCATATTTCTTTATGAAAATCACATCTTTCACCAAGAAAATCTCAAATATTCTCAACTTTTATCGTTTTGCCACCTCTACTCCTCTCAAAGGGAAGCCCTTTCTTCAAAAGCAAACTCAAGGTCTCATTCTATCTTCATTTCAGGCCATCATGTTCTCATCTCTCTTTTTTTTTTTTTTGGTACCGGGTATCGAACTCGGGTCCTTGCGCTTGCAAGGCAGGTGGCAGAACCACTGAGCTAAATCCCGGGCCCTCTCATCTCTATTTTTATTGAGGGATAAACTTTTTCAAAGAGGTATCTAATTTGCCATTTCCGTCTCACCACTGATTCCTGGCACCAGGACACTTCCAGTTCCTGACACCACCCCGATCTGGGCTCCAGGGTCCCTACTCCCCAGAGTGGCTGTTGTCACAGTCATCCCTGAGCTGTATGTCATTAAATATAGCCACCATGTTTCATCCTTGCCCTATTCTCAGGCTTGCCCTCTGCCCACCCCTCCTTTTGAGATGACCGATTCTCTTGCCTTATGTCCCAGCTCTCCTCCACCCATGGTCCACTGCTCCCAGGTGGGCTGTTCTGTGGCATGCCTTCCCCTTCCCAGCCACCCAACACCTGAGGCTCCTCCAACCCTGGTGGCTGGTGCTTCTCTTCCGGTTCCAGTCTCTCCCAGGACAATCTCATCTGGTCTTTGAATCTCAGCTACTCTATTAGCATATGACTCCAGCTTAGACCTGTCTTCAGACTTTCAGACCCACAAACACAACTGCCTCTTTGACATCTCCAATTCAGTGTGCTTCCCCTCTATTCAGGTCCACTTTTGTTCTCCATTCTGGTGAATGGCACCGAATTCACTTGGCAGCACAGCCAGAAACCAGAGCTCAACACTGTTCTCCCTTCCCCATCCCCACAACCAGTGATAAGACCTAACTTTCTCTCAAGTCCATCTCCACAGCCATCTCCAAGTCCCCGCTAACAGAGTTTACACCTGGATCATCTCACCAGCTGCCTGACTGGTCTCCCTCTCCCTCACACACACACTGACTCTCCACATTGATCTCGATAAAGCACAAGTCTGATATCAATGCTAAAATACCTCAATGGCTTCCTGTTGTTCTGAAGATAACCCAGTATGATTTTTAAAATGTTCTGCAAGGCCTTAAATGAAACATCCCTCTCTCTTTCTCTTCCTCCCCTCTTCTACACCCAACTTTTATGCACTCTTCCTGCTTCTCCGGGATTTGGTTTATTTTCTTACCAATAGTTTGCTTTAATTCCCTATCATACTGACTGCATGGTAACAGTTCTGAACTGCAGTTTTGATAACCATTAGTCTTGTTTTTTACTTTTTTATTAGTACATGTTTGCAAGCAGAATAGTCATGTTTATTTTGGGGATTCGGTACATGTTTTTAACATAACGTATTTTTCTTTTTTTTTTTTTTAAATCCTTCTTTTCCCTTCTTTTCTTTCCTCCACCCCCTCCCTAGTTTCCCTTCCCATGGGAACATTTTCCTCCTATTTCACATTATCTGTTATACATTTTGGTTCTTATTTTCACTTTCAGTTTCTCACACCAGAGAAACAATGCAATATTTACACGTGTCCGATTTATTTCACTTAACAGTATGGTCTCAAGGTGCATCCATTTACTAACAAATGTCTTGAGATTATCCTTCTTTATGGCTGAGTAGTACTCCACTGTATTAAAAAAAAACCACACTTTCTTTACCCATTCATCGGTTGAGCAGCTGTTTCCAAAATTTAGCTACTACAAACTCTGCTGCTGTGAATATAGGTGTGCATATATCGCTGTAGTATGATGATCCTTTTATCCCCTCATCTTCTTTACCTCTCCCTTCTCCCTCATCCTGTTCCCCATCTTCAATTCTGAGTTTTTGTTTCCTACCATATCATCTTTATTTTTATTATTTTAGGTTTCTCATGCAAGAAAAATCATGCTATATTTAATTTTTGTGTCTGACTTATTTCACTTAGCATTACAGTTTCAAGTTCCACTCGTTTTCCTGCAAATGCCATGGTCTTGTTCTTTTTCATGGCTTAATAATAGTCCATTGTGTGTATATATAGTACATTTTATTTATCCATTTTTCTGCCTGATGGTCATCTAGACATAAATCAGTAACTGTACCATACCCACATAAATAGAATCAAGGATAAAAATCACAAGATCATCTCAACAGATGCAGAAAAAGGAATTTTTTTTGACAAGTACAATGCTCTGTCAGGCTATTTCCCCAGAAGTCCATAGCAATGTTCCTGTCCCCACATGCTCCTCTAGAACTTTGTCATGCTTCCATCAAAAGGTGGCATTTACTTTCCCTGGCCCTAAACCAGGGTGGGATTATGTGTCCCTGCTTTGATGGACAGAATGCAGAGGTGACACTGCATAGTGTGCAGGCCTAGGCCCCGAAAGGCAGCACAGCCTCTCTGGGCTTGCTCTCTTGGGACACACATCACGGACCCAAGGTACGAGGTTGGGGAACGAAGGCTGAAGGGGACAGCTGCTATGCGTGTCCTCTCTGACGGCCCGACTCAGGTCACACCAGAGCATCAGCCCTGAAGGCTGGAAGGAGCCCTCAGCTGAGTCCAGTGACCAGACGTTATCCAGAGCCTTGGCTTCCCGCTGAGCCCCAGGCAGGGTCATTGTAATAAGCAGCTGTCCTACACCACCACTCCTAACTCATCCTTCTGCCCTCACAGGGTCAAGCCTCCAGTTATTACTTACTGCTATCATCCAGAGCCCCTCCTTCAACGGCACTGCTCACAAATGTGACTGACATTTATGTGTGACTCACTGTACGTTTGCCCCCACAAGTCCACGTTCTATGAGGGCATGGACCTTGCCTATTTTTTGCCACTTTTATCTTCAGAGCCTAGTGTCTATACCAAAGTAGGTTTTTAATAAATATTTTAAAATGGAAAAATGATCCATGCAAAAATATACAGCTATTAATGGGCCACACATCAACCATTCCTCCAGCTGTCACCATGCTAATTGGTAATAAAGCAAATCGAACCCCAAATGCCTAAAGCCCACTCCTGTGCTCTGGAAAACCTGGCCATTTTCACAATTCAGTTCATAATTCAATCACTACAAAAATAAGTGAAATTATTCCTTAAAAATGTTTAACCTCGGGGCCGGGGATTTAGCTCAGCGGTTTCGCTGCCTGCTGCACAAGTGCAAGGACCTGAGTTCGATACCCAGTACCAAAAAAAAAAAGTTTAACCTCAATTAACGAAAAAACAAATATAAAGCAGATATGACAAAAAGCACACAGATGTAAACTAATTTTAATTCCATATCAATGATATTTAAAGAAATCTAACATTTTTCAGGGTTATGGTTAAACTGGGATGGAAATAAGATAAAGAACTGGAAGACAGATCAGAGTGGAAAACAATGTAAATAAGAGGGAAGTGGGGATGGTGAATTAGGCAGATTTAGAATCAATATCTGGGGGAGATTCACTTCTTAAAGTACAACATTTTTCAAAAATACATTTAACTAATTACTGTAAATAAACCAATTTTACTGAAAGTAACCTGAGAGGAGAAAAGAATAAAAACTTTTGGATAGTCTTAGAATTGCACACTTGTTAAATGGTTATTTAACCTATGATCAAAGTAGAATTAATACACATGAAAATGAAAACTACAGTTGGCTGATTCTGAGCTAGATATATGCCATGACTATAGATGGCTATCATTAATTTCTACGGAATTACCACATTAACTCATAGATGAAAATCACCTAATGTATCTTGGAAAGAGAAAAAGTTCTAAACATTTCAGTGCCATAGTCTGAACTGTGTTTTTGCCGAAACTCATGCTGAATACTCCCAATGTGTGACTGTAAGTTGTCACTCGTATCCATGGGTGACTGACTCCAAGAAAAAGTCACACTTCCCGGGAATATCAAAATCTGTGGATGCTCTAGCCCCTTATATAAAATGGTGCAGTATTTGTAGTATTTGCATACAGCCTACAAACATCCTCTAATGCACTTTAAATCATCTCTGGATTTTTTTTTTTTGATACAGGGGATCGAGCTCAGGACCTTGTGCTTTCGAGGCAGATGGTGAAACGACTAAGCTAAATCCCCGGCCCATCTCTAGATTTTTTTTTACAATATTTAATTCAATGTGCATGGTATGTAAATAGTCATGACATCTTATTGTTTAGGGAATAATAACAAGAAAAAACTGTAGAGATTTAGTTTACAGTTTTTTTCCTCAAATAGTTTTGATCTGTGGTTGGTTGAGTCCTGTTTGCAGAACCCACAGTTGTGAAGGGCTGATTGTATTTGGGATAGGATCTTTAAGGAGACAGTTAAGGTTAAATGAGGTCCCCAGGAGTGGGGTCCATGTTCTAAGGGGTAGGACACTAGAGATTTCTCTCTCTGGGAGAGTACTCAGAAGAAAGGCCAAGGAAGTCATAGTGAAAGGACCTGCAAGCAAGGAAAAAAACCCTCGCCAGAAAACAACCCCAGTGACATTCTGACCTTGGACTTTTAGCCTCCAGAACTGAGAAATTTCTGTAGGTTAAGGCATCTAGTCTGGCATTTTATTATGGCAGCCTCAGATTAAATGCTTACTCTATTAAACTAAGGTCAAAGTAGAATTAAGGTACATAAAACCCACACACAGCTGCTTCTGAAGCAGGTATATGTCACTCCTATGGAATAATTACCAATTTCTGCAGAAGTTAATAAATCATATCACATAGAAAACCATCCAATCATCAAGTGAATGTATCAGCTA